TATTCCGCATTCTCCAATAACGGCAACGGCAACGGAACGCCGAGCACAGGCTGGGAACGAGAAAGATATCTGCGTCGACGACTAATTTGACATCTCCGCGATGAACCAGGCTAATTCTTTTATCACAAATAGTATTTAATAACGCCAGTAGTTAAACACCAGTGATATCCAATTTTAGCGACCTACACTGGCCAATGTTTTTATTTTAAAAACAATTCACGTTACAACGTTTCGGTCCCACACCCACAAGCAAAATTTCCGGATCCAATGCTATTACACTTGAATGTATCATAAAATAGGATCGATATAGCGCCAATCATATTTATTATAGAGACAGGAACACTTTAATCTTAAATAAAAAATTGTAAAATCTTGAATAAAACGATAGTATGTATCGTTCTTTGTTGAATATCGCGGCGAATTCGTGCCTTGTAAGATGGAGGGAAAATTTATTCTAAAAGCAAGAACAACGACAAGTTACTCTTGTCTCAATATAGTAAGTCAATCTTTTTTAATTGGATAGAGGAGAATAAGAATTATTGATTATTATTCTGATATTGTCTTATTTTTATACTAAATGAGGTTGTGAAAAATATAAATGCCTCAAGAAAAAATAACATAAGATAATAAGATAAAGTAATGCCCACTGGGCATTAATGGGCATTGGTGTACAAGATTTAGGTCAGCGGTTTCCCCCTCATAAAAATCATACCTGTTACAAGATTATTAAAGATCGCATATTAATTGTTTGGCCAATACCATCATGACAGTAAGCTGTGTAGGTAATTTTTTATCTCGCCGCCTTTTGAATTGTTTTCGAAGTATCTTGTACAGTATCGCGCGGCTATGGTCAAACTCGGTTGCTCGCACCAGTGTGCTTGTTTATGGTAAATTGTTACAAGAATATTCTTCAATGTCGCCAGCAGTAATTAACGTCAGTGTTTTTTTTGACAATATCTGGCATTTTTGATAATACAGAAAATTTATTGCGAAAAATATTACCTCTGCCAGGGTTTGAAACTGGGCTTCCCTACACTAGTGACTGGATGGAATTCGGCGTTCTTCGCCCCGCAGGTGTACACATCGCCGCTCATGTCCTCGGTTAAAGGGTCATTCCACTTTAACGGCCCAAAAACTGTACTTATCTTTAACCATTTTTTTCACAGTAAATACACCATACAATAAAATAACTCTCTTAATTTACGTCCAGACGCCTAGAGTGTAGGGAAGTGCAGGCTCAAACCCCGGCTGAGGTAATATTTTTCGCAATTAATATTTTTCTGTATTATTAAAAATGCCAGATACGGTGAAGAAAACACTGACGTTGTCAATTGTTACATTTGTCTTTATCCTAAAGGCAAATTTTCGAAAAGTATTCAGCCAAAAAAAATGATCCATACGGATGCTGTACAGATCATTTTACTGGCTAAACGCCTGTGTCCACGACGCTAGAACTTGGTCGAAGCCCTGCAAGCTTTTATGGATAATAGCTGCAAGTTGATTGGCTACACATTTCCCGAAACTAGAACTTGGACCAAGTTGTAGCGTCGTAGACACAAGTCTTAAGAGACACTTCAAGAGGTATTCAAGACGATCCTTTGATATAAGGATCTCAGTGTGCAAGCAACCGAAGTCGCTGTAGATCTTTTACACAAACTGCACAAACACGATCCTTGAATCAAACTTATCACGCGGAGTCTGAAACCAATATTGATTACAACTGCGAGAAAACCCTGTCTAAATATACTGGAGTATAAAAAAAACAACCTGGCTCAATATATAGCTCGAAGGCTTTCCGTGCATTTTACCTCGTTACCACGCTTATCTTGTACGCGACATTACACCCCGTATGTCAAGCGGCAAAAGTAATCGATCGATCGCGAGTGTCCTGCCATTCGAGGTATTTCCGACTTTCGACGAGCGCGAGTCAATTTTCCCCGTCGACCTCGCACGCGATGCGCCCGCCCTTTAGTCCGCGACTGTGAAAGGGGTGAAAAAGAATCCGGGGCGAAAAAACCGGGCCGGCGTCAGCGGCTTTCGAAAAGATATAATTACGCGCGCGCCGCATTATCCGCGGGAAAGCTGGCGCAGCTTCCGCGCTGGATGCCCGCCAGGATAAATATCAATTTAACGACACGTACGGATACATTCTCGCGTGCCCGGCCAAACGCGCACGTTGCCGACAGGCCTCGAATCCGCGGCTGGTCTGATTTACGGCCGCCGATCCTCGAGTGTGCGTCACGTTTAACTCTAGAAATACCGTGGCCATTTCCCCATCAGGTAAAAGGAGATGTATGATACCGCATTCTTCCATAAAAGTATCGTATCACGGTAAAAGACTCTAAGCTCGAGGGTATAGAATGTCTGTAACGACTATAGATATTTTTCGGACGTTTATTTCCCCTGCATAAAACGAGAATGCGCGTCGCAAGTGCGAGTTTTCGTTAGCTCGTGCCATGGGATTTTCTTTTTATCTCCAGCTAGGCCCTACATCCTTTCCGGGCGCAAACTAGGTACCCTATACGTACGCGCGCGCGGCCCTTCGACGTAACGCTCGTAACTTTACGACTCTCGTAAAAGTCGTTTGATGGCGGAGTGGAATTCTTTTTTTATGCTGAAAAGTAGGATTTTATACGGACAAGTGCGGGCCGTCAGAGAAAGCGGGCTGAATAATAGCGCGTGTGGCGAAATAAATTCGAGCTGCTCGGATATTAAGGATAACCAGCTCACGTAACGCGCCATTGTTACGAGCTCGCCGTTACGCACGCATTGATAAACACAAAGTGGAGTAATAGAAGTTTGATCGACGTGGTTCCGTTTAAATAATTAAATGTCTTTTGTGCGTCGAAAACATTTCGCATCTGGTACGTGCCGCAAATAATTATGCATTGTTGCAAACTTTTATTTCCGACGTCAAGCTTTCCTTATTCCGGTTTGGAAAGTAGATCGACCAATGGCGAAGATAATTAGGCGCCCGAATGATTTACCGAATTACGTCCCTTGTGGAATTTCGCACTAACAATAGACGTTGCTGAAACTCCCGTGACCTGACTCTGCTTTTGTCGGATTATCAATTTTAGGCGGTAAATAACACCGGGGCGAAATGCAATTTTCAGACAAGACAAATTTAGATACGGACGCGCACAGAGGCTTAATCATTTTTCCGCGTAAGTGAATTTTAACGAGACCTGATGAACATTACATCGAATTTCTGGTGAGAGCGTAATCGCTTTAGCGAAACTTCGATAAGCGCCCGCGCGCTTTAACTAGCCCGAGTCCATTATCGGTCGCGCCACTCTTCGTTATTAGATAAAAAATTAATGGCCGATCAATCACGATCAATTTCAGGGAATGGCGTGGCCTGGGCGCGCACGAGCTGCCAAGGTAGATGCGCTTTTATCTCTATTTTCCACGGGACAGGCGGGGCAAGAGATATTCGTATCGGCCATGATTTCTCTTGCCCCGTCAAACTGTCAATTATTGTCTTATTAATTCATTACTGCACGGTCAAGCATTTAATTATGAAGATGTATCGTAGTGGAATTGGAATTGTTACATACTGTAGCTCATAAATCATCGCTGTCTATTGGTATCTGATACCTTAGGGGTTTTTATTTAACAGAATGGACATGAGAGGAAAATAAACATTCCCTATTTGCAATGCCCCCGAAACGTCTAGTTGTAAAGAAAAGTCCGCTGTTATGAGATAGGAGTCTTATATGAGATAGCAGGTTCTCAACGTCCAAATTCAATCACAAATCTTTTTTCGCAACGATCGCACGATCTAACAATCAATGTTTTACTAGACAGATTTCACTCCAAGGACAATAAATTCATGGTAGAATCAACCGATGACGCTTATTAATTTAGTAGAAACTCCGCTATCTTATGATAGGAGACTTCTCTATGTAAATAATATATTATACGCATCGTGAACGGTCGAATAAACCGTGTGAATACGCGATTTGCCGCAGCATAACAGTAAATGTAATTAATGCGCTAGACACAGGAATTCCTGGGGCAGTGCGTTTTGATCATAATGTACCTCTCGCTAGATGGAAATGCACACTCGGGTTTGATAATTAGATCAATAAACTAGAATCGAGTATAGGGGAGTTCCATGAATCGCGCGTTTAATCAAGAGTCTGAGGACTTCGGCGACAGTAATCTCGCTTAATAATTAATTGTCTTACGTATCTGAAAGCGTCGCGGAGTTCTGCAGTAATGAACATAAAATAACAGGGGTCTAAGACGACGAGAGTAAGAATAATAAATAATAATAGACGTACTATCGTAAATGTCAATTTAACGCAGCTATAACCGAAAACGCGACGGTCGTAGAAGCGATCCTCGCGGCCGTATACAGGGTGTCCCAGGAGGAAAGGTCAATATTCTGGAAGGTGACAGTATCGGGCATTTTAAGCAAAAGTATTCATATGAATGTATGTCCAATTCCCCACTGTTTTCGAGATAGGACACATTTTGATGACGTCCGCGTTCAGATAAAACATGAACACTGGGAAGCGTTCCACTTTCACGCAATGTATCGAAAACCTTGGAAAACACTTTACAATTCTGCGTGTAGGAAAGAGGGTGACCAGTGGTCAGGGAAATCTGGAAAGCCGGAAATTGTCAGGTTGGATGAAGGGTGAAGTGTACAGGAAAAAAGGTGGATACACGAGACTGGAGACCCTCTAATCCAGAGTCTGGACATGCGGTGTCCAGCTTCTGATTGGTTCGCCATGTTTATGATTTTCCCCACTGAATTTTGAATTGACAATTTCAATCCACTTTTATAGTTTGACAAACGACAGGTTATCGTGATTGATTTTGATTATTTTGATGCGTATCCATTTGTCGAGGTGTTCTTGCAAAATCGTGCTGCGCATCCACTCATTTTTGCAATAAACGGCAAACTCACACTATTATCAAACTTCGTGCGATGTGCAGTTATATTTTAGGTTACGTCTCAATCTGATGGCAGCTTAAAGAGAGAGTGAGATATTTGTGCTTCTCTCTCTCTCTCTCTCTCTTTGAATTTGACTAAACATGGCGGACAACTCTGATTAGAGGGTCTCTACACGAGACATTCGAATAGCTCTATCCCGGAAACAGTGGGAAATGGGACATATATTCATATGAACATTGTTGCTTAAAACGACCGATACTGTCACCTCCAAGAATATTGACCCTTCCTCCTGGAACACCCTGTATAAATACGGGATCTCTCGCGCCGTCGTCATTTGCTCTTTTGCGCAATGTTTTTTAAGGGCCACGTGAGCCGAGCCCTGCACCGTGGCCCGTCGCTCGGTGCCTCGATTTTCCGCTTCATCGAGACACCGCCAACGCAAGCCGGCCGGCCGTATGCTAATCGGGTGCATGTGAGCGGGAGTGAGCGCAGAAACGCCACCCTCCGAAGAAGGGTGATACGAGGGGAGAGTCCCCGGGATGATCCCTTCGACCGAGTGAGTGACATCGCGCGCGGCAACAAGGGCGCGCGGATTTTATGGCGCAGCTTTTTTTTTTTCCTCTCCTCTCCTTTTTGGACCCGACGGCGATTACGCACACGCGTCGTCCGAACGGGCGGGCGGAACAAACGACGATGACGTGACCGCGTGAAATTGCGTGGGCGATACAGGATTTGTTGCACGTATCGTTGCAATCGAGAAACGTAATATGAAAGGGGTGTAGGTTTCGGGTGACGTATGAATAACTATTTATTAACGTGGGTTAACCCCGCGTCGAACTCGATCGTCGAAATCTAATAATTTGAATTCTATTTGTTTGCGCCTGCTGATAAATTACTGAAACGATATTTTAGGGGTGAAACGCGTACACTAAGTAATTAGCAAGGGGAAATTTCACTGGAATCACATAAGAATTGCTTGCATAAGCTTGATTCGACCCTGGAGAAAAACTGTCCCGTTTCCAAGGACAAAGTCTAAACGTGTGCGCTTCTTTCCATCTTTATATTCTTCGTAACATTTACATTTCTCTGCGTCTCGCAATTTTCCGACTACACCCCGAAAAGGCGATGAATATTCTGTTGTCCTCTTCTGCCGGAAATTTCCCAAGCGTCGTCTACACCGGAAAACGCAAACGATGCGGACATCCCGTGGAATTCTACCCCATTCGGTGCACGTGGCTCCCGATAGAGAAAGAGAGAGAGCGGCGTTTAGTCCACCCGCGGGCGTTCTACAAAAATCCGGTAATTCGCGGACAGGACGTTCCCTTGATATCGATATCCCCTCGGGGTGCATCGCACGCACGTCGAGTCGAGGCACCCTTTCCCTACGGCCCTGCCGACCTCCCACTATTCCCTCTCGGTAGCCGGCAGCAGTGCTCAGTCTCCGTCGAGCTACCGTCGCGTCCGGAGGTAGCTCGTCCCGCTCGTTTCCCGCTCGCCGCTCGCTCGCTCGCGTCGCGATCGGAGACAGTGCGCGAGGATCGAGTGCGAGTACGCAATTGCATTTGTGAACAGTTGGAAAATTGTGAATTCGCCAGGCGGTAGCGCGACGCGGCACGCCGCAACCGATGGGGGATGACGTTCGATGGAGAAAAAGGTACGAATCCGCGATGCGAGGGGGTTGACGGGCGCACGGAGGGGCCCAGCGCTACGACGGAGGGTGTGCGTAATGCGTCGCGAGATGCGGCTCTCCCTCCGTCTCCCTCCGCGCCCGCGAGAGATCGCGATCTGGAGCGATTTGTAATATCGGAGTCGCGGGGGGAGGCCCTTTCGACAGGCGTGATCGAACTCGGGGTGACGTAGTGCCGTTTTGCGAGCAGCCCGTAATCCGGCCTGTGGAGATTGGAATTGTTCAAATATTTGGCGTGTCGGAGGCTTCTAACCGGATTTTATTACGCCGCGAGGTTTGGAAACCGCGAACCCTTTTTGTTCCTCGGGCGCGCTCCGAAACGTCGGATGCTCCGAACGATAGTACACGCGGGAGATAAGATGGAAATTGAGAAGCGGGCTTCGGGAGATTTAAATCGGAGCGAGAGAGATTTCCTTCGTAATGTTCGTCCCCGAGTCGTTTTTGTCAGGTTTTTCGCTTCAATGCGTCATTATTTCGACACCCCGTTTCCAATCGTATGTCGCGTATCGAACAGGAAAGTTTACGAAATTATATAGCGCATCTTTCAAGATTTTTATGCTCTAACCAGCGTGTTTTCTCTACGGATGGAAATAAATGTTATACGATGGCTCACAAACGCCGAGAAGTTGTAGCGAGACATAAAATATACGGATAATTAATAATCGACTTTTTATCTACGAGAGACTGCAAGAAGAGAGAGTCGCGCGATAAGTACCGCAATAGCAGGAATTAATATTCCAATATTTCGCATTGAAGTTGCGCAAACATTCAATTTGACATTTACGGAATGATAAGTTTAATCTCTTATGTCAATCTCGCATTGACTTGCAAGGCCATTTTGAAATGTAAAATTATCCCTCGCACTTTGCATAATGCACGACGTATTATACTGTATCGATTACGACTTTAGCATATCTCGAGTGGACAAACATTATTTCGTATTTTTCTGCTACAATTGTCTTTCTAATTTTCATTCGATAATGAAACGCAACGACACAGTTTGTCCATTAAAACCTGCGACATGCAGAACAATAGTTATTTCCAGCCTTGACATTTGACAGAACAACACTTGTTATTCCAATCATAAAAAAGTATCATTTGCGTATAAAATTGACTCTCAAACGCGACAGTCATTATCGTCACTGATAAGAAACTATTATCTGCGTTCCGCGCGGTGTCTTCGTCGTTGCTACGTAATCACGCCGGCACGCGTTATCGTCACTAGTCCGAAACTATCCGCCTGCTTTCTCCGCAAAAATACATCTCGCTCTCGCAGTGCGTGCGATCGGCCGCAATTGGAGGCGGGAGATTCCTTTTGTCGATACGATTCAAAGTGCCCCGCAGGTCGGCGCGCACCGTAGGCCGCCGCGGCGTAAGTCTCGCAATTTCTCCGCGAATTTCTCCCGGCAATTTCTAAAAGAGGCGCCTGCCTCCTCGCGGCTATTACGTGGCTCGTGACCTCGCGCGGAAAGGAGCCCGGCGAGAGAATAATAAGCCGGGAGGGCCGCGCGCGATGAATGAATCCGTAGGCGCCAGAAATGGAGGGGCCGCACGCGTCCCGCGATTTTCCGCGACGGTGGAAACTGAATCGCGACGGAGCCCACGGCGGAAACGCGCGTAGCGGTATACGTGCGTAAAGACCTGCGTTCCCAGTGCGTCGCGCTTCCGGCGATCAGATAGCCCCGCTAGAAAGCTGGGGCTCGCTCCTTCGTCATGCCCGTGGAGTTCGAGGGAATTCACTTTGTGATAAACTCGTGACGCGGTTTGAGCCGTTTCGTTACTTAATCCCCGGACGTTCATCGGCGAGGCGTGCGTTTTAAATTACATGCAATGACAATTAAACTCTTGGGAGAGAAACAAAAGTCGACGGGAACAAACGTGCACGAGTGAAGCTCTCGCACGCGCGTGAAAGAGAACAGTTTGAAAATTGTTTTGATATCTCGTCTAATTTACTTGGATCAGATGACTACTCATAGCGGATTCGGTTACTTGCACTAGTGCGCACTGAGTGCACACTAAGGGCCAGTTTCACAAACGTCGGTTAGCTGCTAACCGAAGGTTAATTGATTCTCTGTCTCTTCTTAGATAACAAAATAGAAAAAGATAGGAAGTTGACTGAACTCTGGTTAACAGTTAACCGATGTTTGTGAAACTGGCCCTAAGGCCTGTTTATAGGCAATTTTTACATCTAACTTTGTCTTAAATACATGTTCAAAGAGTAATTAGCTAAAAATAATCCGTATGGATGCTATACAGAACATTTTACTGGCTGCAAAATATTTCAAGAAATATTTTAGACGATTCTTTAATATAAAAATTGACTGTAAACGGGTCTTAGTGTGCACTCGGTGCGCACTAGTGCGAGCAACCGAATTCGCTATTAGATTAGATAAAATGTATAAGAGGAGAGAAGGAGGTAAAATACATTTTAACATTCGAGTAATTTTATCTGACACTAAAATACAACTTATTCACTAAGCATCTTAATTAGTTACAATTGTGCTCTTTAAAGGAAAATATTACTTGAGCATCTTAGGCCCGGCTGTACCAACGTCGTGTAACTTTAACTTTAGCTTAATTGACTCTTGGTCTCTTTCTAAGAGAAACAGAAGGAGAAGAAGAGTGAACAAAGCTAAAGTTACGTAACGCCGGTGCAGCCGAGCCTTAAACATCCAGCTTGGACATTCGATAGATCACATATGCTATACTATTCGGGACGCAAACTAATACGGGGGCCAAGAGCATGTCCCAAACCGCAGTTAACACAATCGAGCGACCCTGACCTGAGGAGCGGTGTGGCGAGCCCTAACGAAAGTCCGTTCCCACGACTGGCGAGTGTGTGCGCCCTGCCGAACTTCGAGGCATCGTAATTTTTCGACAACGCCCACCGGGCGGAGCGCCCGTAATTTTCGAGCTTAATGATCCGACTCGAGTGCGCGAGATATCCCGGTGCCGTGTCTTCGACGCGATGATTGAAGCAAGTTTTCCCCGGCACGGGATCGACCGGGCGGGACGGGAGAGAAACAAGCGTGCCGATGCATCGTGCGTTCGCGCGAGGAACAAGGGCCGTTTTAATCGTCTCTACTACAGCCCTCCAGCTTTGGGCTCCGCCGTCTGCCTTTAGGAGCGAAGTGCGCGTGAGTTACGACACCCGCACTGCGGTGCGACTGCGACGAAGGGCTGGAGTGCGCGCTCACGTTTGCGCCCTTTTAAATGTCATCGGCGTCTAAATAAGCACGACTCGGTGACGATAACAATGATGACTCTCGTCGCTGCTTTTCTCTTTGCGTCCGTATTTCCCGCGATCAAAGTCCCCGACTTCTCGGAAGGGAATGTCTTAAATTAAACGTTGCATAATTCCAAATAATGAAATATTCAGCGTGTATTCGTCGGGCGTCTCTTATCGTTAAATTTCCATTATTTCTTCTTTTCCTCCGGACGTCCCTTACGTATCTAATTAAAGGCTCTTAGGATTTAATCCCGCGAAGAAAATCTTCCGACGGGGAAAGAGAGATACATCCCGCGGGTGCAGTCGAGAGCTTCGGCTCAGGATCGAGCGGGTGGATGGTTATCCCGGGAGATATCGGAGACTGCGTTCGCGAGACTTCTCGTCGGGATGACGGAAGGAGGGCTTGCGGAAGGGAGCTACGATTCGCTCGGTGACCATAAAGGGCACGTGATATTGTCTCACGGAAATGTTGGACAAGGGGAAGCTCTCCGATGAAACTCGATGTGGAACATTGCCAGTCTATTTGCAATCGTTTTATCAGAGATGTCGATGTTTTTATTAACGGATGCGATTGCGTTGATATTCATAATTTTCTCGCGTCGCTGAAGTCCCCTCGGAGAGCAGTTTGAGAATCGGTGTCGTTCTTTCTTCTTTTATGCGACAAATAATTGGCGTACACGGGGAATAATTTTGGAAGTTAATTTTTATATTATATAGAAATCTAACAGTTACATTTAAAAACGACCACGGAATTTGCTTGAAAGATATCTCGAGGAAAGTACAATCCGGGGCGGTCTATCTCGAAGCCGCAAACATCCTCCCGATACAAGACTCCTAGCGAATTCGGCAGCTTGCACTAGTTAGTGCCCTGAACGCGCACTAAAGCCCGTGTCACACTACGTGTTGCGGATTGCGAACCGTGGATCACATTGCAGCCAATCAGACGAGGCAGCCTTGGACCTGATTGGTTGAATTGCGATCCGCGATCCGCAGTAGACAAGGCTTGTTTTCTGTTTATACACTGGTGAACTAGTGCAATAAATTAGAGTAAAATAAGCGTATTTTTTTCTCATTCTAGCTTACTGCACTAGTTCACCAGTGCAGGAACAGAAAGCAAACCTATAGTGTGACACGGGCTTAAGGCTTGTTCACAGTCAATTCTTATATTTAAGGATCGTCTTAAGTACTTTTCGAACTACTTCTTAGCCAGTGAAATGGTCTGTAGAGCATTCGATCATTTCTTTGGCTGAATAGTTTTTGGATAAGTACTTGAGATAACCATAAATATGAGAGTAGACTCTGAACAAGGTGTGCACTCGGTGCGCACTGGTGCACACTGCCTAATTCGCTATCGGACTAATGGCGCAAAAAATTCTCCTTTCCTCTCGAGATAGTATTCTGTTTCGGAGCCGAGTTTATTTCTTTAAAGCGAGCTTAGCTTCCGCCGTTTGTTCGCAAAGGAAGGTGCGCGACGGCACCTGACCCTTCTCACATAGTTCCGGTAAGGTTGCCGTCTCCCAGGAGTAATACACATCCCCTCGCGATCCTCGCGATTATCCGGCACGGAACAGCGCAATTTTTCTCCCCCGGACGGAAACCTTACCCGACGTTTTCCCGGGGCGCAAGGTAAAAACAAATCTTTCGCGTCCTGTTACGGGCGAGAACGCCTCGTTCCTTATCTAGACCGAGGCAGATCTCGTCGCGCTATTAGGAGAACGTGATACTGGCTGAACTTCCC